ACAGTGGAATGAATTACAATTCTTATTACACATATAGAGCACAATTTTTCACATCTCTGTTTGTATATAAAGTATGTTCACACTAATTCATGTCTTCATACATGTACTTTGGATAGTGATGTCTATCACATTCCACCATCATTACTAACCCCTTCCCCCCTCCCTTCCCCTCCTACCCCTCTGCCCTATCTAGAGTACCTCTATTCCTCCCATGTTCCTCCCCTACCCCATTAAAGGACAGTCACCTTATATCAGAGAAAACATTCAGCATTTGTTTTGGGGGGCTTGGCTAACTTCACTTAGCATTATTTTTCTCCAATGCCATCCGTTTACCTGCAAATGCCATGATTTTATTCTCTTTTATTGCTGAGTGATATTTGTATATATGCCACATTTTTTAATCCATTCATCTACTGAGGGGCATCTAGGTTGGCTTCACAGTTTAGCTATTGTGAATTGTGCTGCTATAAACATTGATGTGGCTGTGTCCCTGTAGTATGCTGTTTTTAAGTCCTTTGGGTATAGACCGAGGAGAGGGATAGCTGAGTCAAATGGTGGTTAGAAATAAAAAAAAAAGACAAATACAGGTTTGACTTATTGGATAAATCTGAATATGGACAGGACATTAAGTAAAAATATAGCATTATCTTCATAAACAAACATGCTATATATAGCACACCTATTTTCCAAGGTGATTCCTGATGAAGTACTTAATGGGTTAAGTATAATGGTGTTTATAACTTGCAAATATATATGGTGAAATGTCAATAAGTGTTCACTCGAAGAATTTAGAAGGAGGAGAGGAAAGTATATGGATATTCATTAAGCTATTTTTCAATTTCACTATATACTTGAAATTTTTTACTAAAAAGGTGGGGAAAATGAATTCAATAATAATATAACATTTCAATTTAAAGCATTATTCCTCAATATATGTTACCACAATAATTACCTTATTTGTGAAATGAAGGAAGCCATATTGCATTTGTTTAAAATGAGAAGGAACTATCAGTTGTTGCAATAATGTTTTTATTGCTAAGATTTATAATACAGAGAATCCTCAATTTAGGAATTCCATTAACCAGCTCCTTGCTTCCCTCTCCCATTTAATCTTTTATCAACTGACATTATCCTAAGTACTCTGCATTATGTTTTCAGCAATCCACTACCTCAAAGTCTGTCTTCCCACATTCACTTGCCCAGTATATCTTCTAGAACCTCCCGGAAAAAAGGAGTGTCTGAATATGTAACTACATATAAAATTGACCGAAATTATACTAAGATAGAGTAAGACTCTAAGCTGGGTGGAAATATTTAAAATTATTGTTTTTATGTCTTGGGCCCCTTTGGTAAGTATCATGTCAGAATTAGGTAATTTGACAATTTGGCAAACACTAGGACTCCTTGGAGTAATGTTGTTAAATCTATATGTTTTTAAATCTAAAACAAATTTATGTTATAGTAATAAATGCACTGTTTCATGAATACATTAAACAATAGAAACTTGGGGAAGATCAAATAACTCCTGCATTTTTAAGTAGTTATAATTAGAGATTATAAGTATTAGTCATAATAGGATGACTATAGTTCACAATATCCTATTATATATTTTATGAATAACTAGAAGATTTGATTATTATATATTCTATACAATGTATGAAAATATCACACTCTACCCTATAAATATGTATGATTATTATGTGTTAACAAAAACTTCTGAAAAAGGTTCAAGGAGTTAGAAAAGTTAACTACAGTGATATAGTCATTATACACTCTCTATATGTATCTCATTATCACACTATTCCTCATAAATTTTTACAGTAATAATATAAATTTTAAAAGCATGAACAATATTTGAGATATATACAACTCTAATATGATATGAAAATATCAGGATTTTAAAAGTTTTGCTACTATTTCTGTGATTCAATGAGATTAGTGAAAACAAAGAGGTAATTTTTTTTATGTATTCACAATCATGGCACCCCTTTAATTTTATACATGGACCCAAGCTAAAGAACTTTTGTACACAGGTTTGCTTTCTTTGAACTTAAGACTTCCCTTTATATCTGATAGGTTTTCATTTGTATCTCCTTGTTATGAAGATTACTTTGGTGGCAAAACATCACTGAACTCATTACTATCATGTCTAAACATGTAGATTTTATCCAGTAACTCTACTATGTAATTGAAGCAAGTGAATTTTCTGTCTTAAATTGCACAGCTAATTGACTATATTTTATACTTCATTTGCTTCCATTATAGGATAACACTGATGAATGTCCAATAGTATTTAAATATTTCTGAAAATTTTCTTTCTAGTACTGATATGCTGCATTCTCAATGAGATAGGGTTAAAGTTGTGTAGCTAAAATGGCTCCAAATAATTTTTTGTAGACTTTTTGCTTAAGTTACCCACTTTCTTTCATGTATGCCTATGAACTAAGAAATGTTAAATATTTCTAGCAGCTGTATATAAGTACCATTACAAATGAAGAGCACTTTTGGCAGGTCAAATCGTATCAAATATTTTACCTGTGCAGTAAATAATTTCTCTTTTCTTCTATCATCTACTTGAATAGCACTGAATTCATGCCATTGATTAACAATAGTTTCATGATTACAGCCCTTTCACAATTGTTAGGCTTAACATATCTTTATGAAATATTATTTTATTTATTTATACTTGGGTTGCTTTTGGACACATGGAAATAGCTGTGAGTATATTGGGAGAATTGACATTTATGTTTTATTACATTTTTACTCTTCATAAAACTTTAAATGATATAAAAATCCTGAGGCCACAAAACTGATCTCAGTGGAAATTTAAATATGCTAACATTTATTTTTAAAATGTAGCACAAAGTAGACAACTTTAAAAGCTGAGTTTAAAAACAAAAACCTCAAGGAAGCTGATCTTGACTTTTTAAAGCACAAAAGTGCAATATTTAATGTAGGTCAAAATATTTAAATGGGAGAGAATTTCTAACCAATTATTATAGCCAAATCCCTCGTGTAATTGACCTACAATTTGGATAATTTTTCACAATAGAGTCAGCATATACCTTTTTCTTATAAAATTAGGAGGATCTAAATTTCTAGAGCCTATTTGGTAAAATAGGCATATTGTCTCATCTTTATTCATAAATTAAAACTTGCATTTAGAAACCAATGACATAGGATTGAAACTTATCAAACTGTTTTATGCACATACACATATGCCAACTTGAAGCTCACCATTTTGTATAATTAATATGCACTAATAAAAAGAATCAATGACATATAACAACATTTTAAAAATTCAGGTGAGCGTTATCAGAGGAAATAGTAGTATGCTCTATTCAAATACTATGTAATAAATATTTAAAAATGAGAAACAACTTTATACATAGTAAAGAAAATTAATCTTCCAATTTAATGAACTTTATATATTAAAGATACATATTTTTATACAATTATATTCAATTTTTCTAAATATTTTCATTTCTTAATTTACACCTGATGGAGCCTAGTTCAGAAATGGCTATATACAGGTTTAAAACTGTTCATCATATAAACATATTAATTATTCAAATAATGGAATACTTGTGCAATTAACAGAAGGATTTCAATCTAGGATAAAATATGTATAAATTTCCAAGAAAGAAGTTTAGTTACCAATTTTGGGTCTTTATTTTATGTAGTTTAAAAAAAGAATATTTTCTATACCCAGATATAACATAAAATTTATATTTAGATGATGCTATTAGTATTTAACTTTGGCAAACTTTGTGTGTGTGTGTGTGTGTGTGTGTGTGTGTGTGTAGGTCAACTATATGTTTGTTTCATATAAGAATATGAACAGTATCTACTTTTCAAATAATGTAACATAAGCAAAAATGGCAAGAAGAGGCGGGAAAAGGCAATGAATATAATTCCACAACCTTCTTTCTAACACATCTTAACCAAAGATGTTCAGCAATGAGGTATCTCAGTCTTGCATATTAAAATTCACCTATTATGCACATCATAGGGAGAATGCAAGGGCTTGGCAATAGAACTGTTTTCATTGTTCATAACAATAGTCTCATTTGGTAAATAAAGGCCAATTTCTCCTTTATGAAATAAGAAACATTAGCATAAACAACTGGAAGCATAATACAAAATTGCATTTATAAAATATCTATGCAACTGCAGTAGCATTCATTTGGCTTTCAAACCCTTCAATACATTCCAAGGTAAAGTTAAATGATGATTGAAAGCAACAACAATTTGGGGGGGGGTTTGTTTTTCATTTAGATTTCAACACTTTTGGCCTAAACACCTTTTCAAGAATGTACTAACAAATGTAGTGAAACCTAAAGTAAATATTGCTATCATATTTTTAACATAAAATCATATTTATACTTGTTATAAAAAATCTAACCAAAGAGCTGTCTTTCCTACATAATCATCATTTATAATTGCCCTTTCACATCATTAAAAAAATGACATTCAGCCTGCTAAGTTTGGAATATACTGAAGACATTCACATTTAAGCAAACATGTAATTTTAAAAATAAATTTAAAAGTTTAAAATAGCCAAGAAGCAATAAGTAGCAACAAGTTTATATTTTAGTATCTAAGAAAAAAGAAATAAATTTCTTTAATGCTGTTGATTAACTTGATAGACTCTTTAATGCTAGTGCCCTTCACCGGGCTTATAATCTTCTTTCATGAAATCTTTTTATTATTATTTTTTTAATAAATGACTGCGGAATGCATTACAATTCTTATTACACATACACAGCACATTTTTCATATCTATGATTGTATATAAAGTATGTTGACATCATTTCATGTCTTCATACATGTACTTTGGATAATGATCTCTATCACATTCCACCATCCTTGCTAACCCCCTGCCCACTCCCTTCCCCTCCCCACCTCTGCCCTATCTAGAATTCATGAAATCTTTTTTAAAGGACAGGTTAAATCACTCTGTTTAAATTTTATCATTCCTATTTTATGTATCACCCTACCTCTTTTTTCTTTCTGCCAGCTGTTTGCAGACCTCCTGCCACCGTAGATTCAGGCTTCCCAATTTTTCCTGCAGAATACTGGCATCTGTTTTGGAGGACTGTTGAATTATTTCTTCTCCAGTTGCATTCAGGGTTCTGACAACAGTTTGCCTCTGCCCAATGCCATCCTGGAGTTCCTGTAAGATACCCAAAAAGGCGAAACAAAAATGAAGCCCCACATCCTTTTATTTGAGAAAAGATTAAACAATGTGTTACCACATGCAGTTGTACTGGGAGAGAAAGAAATATAAAAGCTCCATGTGAAAGTTGCTCTATGAAACTGACATGCCCACATCCAAAGAATACAAGACAGAAAGACACCTTTTATGTGTTAGTAAAAAAGTGCCCTCTCAGTTCAGCTCCAGTTTTTATTTTTGTAAGCTTGTCAGTGAGAGAATGTTATAATGTCCTACAAATCAATTAGTTGGAGAACTTTTCAAGAGCAAATTCGATTTCTTGTCCCCACAAGGATGTTCCATGGTTAATAGTCTATGAAGTGTTATAAAATTTAAATATGAACCAAGTATATAGGTTTCCAAGTGATTGTCGATATGAGAGGTAAAAAAGAATAAACATAGTTTAGCCATAGTATTAAAAAAAACCCTAGAGACTTTAAAATATAGAGAATTACTATATTAAAAAGAAATTTGTGTCAAATTCTGTTTATAATTGTGTCAAATTAACTGTTTATAACTTATCTATGTTATCTTGCATTATAAGGTCACATAAAGCTGAGAATTAATTTCTTTCGGGGATAGCCCATAAAAAAACCTCTAAGGTAAAATAATAAATTTTAAAATAGTCTATAGCCACCAGAACAATTTTATGAGTCATTGACAGGGTCAATTTAAATATCTTCTTCTTTTTTATCATGAATGAAATTTCAAGAGTAAAGTGTCAGAAATATTGTTTCACTAAAAGTGAGACTATTAAAACCAAGTACACATATAAATGAAAATGCCTTCTTACCAGTACATAAAAACAACAATCCCTCCTGATTTACCTTTTTGAAAAACAGAATTTATAAGGCAATTAAAATAACACATGAGTAATCCAAAATTTAGAAATGAAATGGTACTTAAGAACTTGAGATACCTTCATATTTAAATTGTGTCCATATCCTTATATTATTGGAATAATAATAAAATATCAAGAATGTTCTATCAGATATAAGGAAAATTATTGAATATTCTTATATTCCCCTACTCCTTGGTCCAGTATGAAGTTCATATCCCCCAGGACATGCTTACTGAATAAATAAATAAATACATAATTTTGTAGGACAGAGTCAAGTCTCCCTTATACTCTCACTCCACATAACTTCTTGGCATTTTTTTACCATTTTCATATAATATTATTTTAATATTGGAACTTTTTGTATCATATATCTAGCAATTAAAAGATTCCACAAATCAACAAATAGAATGTCAAGGACATAGTACCTTACAACAAATAAAAAGTATGCATAGTTATTGAACCCTTAACAAGCTGTTTTGACCATTATCATGAGATGTATTCTAGTAAATATGTGATATTTCCTTGCTCCCAATTGACTTTGGTCAATTGGTTATATCCTAGTCTTTACATTTTGTCTACTTCAGAGTTGCATGTGAGAGTTACTGCTTAGTAACAGGGGTATCAGTCATAAAAAAACTGTGTTTATATTCCTATTATATCATGAATTCCTTGAGGTCAGTTATTTTGTCTTACAATTGTGTCTTACTTCTTAGTACAATACTGTACCTGGTACATGGGAAGTTTCAGTAAATATCTGTTGAGTGTATAAATGAATCTGTTAATAAAGGAACTAGGGAAGGTAAGAAGAGAGGAAAGAATGGAGGAAAAAAGGAAGAAAGGAAAGGAAAGAGAGAAGGAAGGAAGTTAAATCTCATTATCCACATGGTATTATTTGTATTAATGAAATTGAGCACTTTGAAATTAAAATCCATTTCCTGATAACTGCTTTTACTTCTTGCTGAGGACAGACAGCAAGGAAGCAGAGAGTGACATGTTCTTTAGCTAACTAAATCTATATATGTATTTCACCTGACATTTGTTTCTATAAATTGTAATTATAACTGCTTCTGTGGGACCCACCAGTGGAGAAGCAATCTAACTGCTTCTCCTCAGTTTGATTAAACTGCATAAAGTTAATTTTCTTTTCTTCTCTGTCACCTCTTTCTCAGGTAGGCAGAGTATCAAATCTGGCCAGCCCAGGATCCAGACAGGCTCCCTGGTTGGCCACCAGTAACATTAATACCTCTCATTGGGCCTCCTAGAGATTTAAAAAAAAAATCAGCATAATTTTCTAGGTTTTAGGCAGTATATAATCTATTTGAAGAGATTAGACACAGTGATGAATGATTATTTATTAAATTATGTGCAGTAGGATAGAGAAAGCATACCATAAACAGTAGATCAGAAGAGAGAGAATCTCAGTAGGAGGATGAACAGGAAAGACTTCTGGGAAATTATGGAATTTAAAGAATGGGTAGGACTTAGGCACATGGAGGTTCAGGGGCAGCAAGAGGATGGCTAAAGTGAAGACCTGTGGTGTGCAATCTCTGTGATCTAATCAGGAGTATACAGTAGAATTTGATGTCAGTGTATGAGAGCATGAGTTTAAGGAAAGGTTCAGCTGTGGGTATATACTGCAGCCTAGCAGAGAGGTCTTTGCTTTTTATTAAGGCCTTTATAGCTAATTTGAATTCAATAGATAACAACTCAGTTTTTAAATATGGGAGTATAAAGTTTAGAGCTGTGCTTCTGTATAATTCTGAGGCACAGTACAGACTAATATCAAGGCAGGGAAACATGCAAAATAGCTAGGACAGGAGTCTTGTAGATGATAATTAGGACTAATACTAGATTTGACAATGGACCAAAAAGGAAAGGCTAGAGATAATATGAACTCTTAAGAAAGAATTGAAGAGGCTTTGAGTATACTGGATCATGCAAGCATGAGTGACTGCTGAAATGGAGAAAACTTCTTAAAACACAGAAGTCATTGAGAAGGTTAGAGAAGGGAAAGAGGGCTCATATGAGTGACCTCAATGTTGTCCAATATTTACAATGATTAACTCATACTTTTAAAAATGCATGGGGCACAAATTAGACAGTTGACTCTCAAACTTTACTGTGTACAACAATATCTTGAAAATCTTTTTAAACTGCAGATTATGATTTAATAGTTCTGTAGAGTGGCTGAAATTCTGTATTTCTAACAAGTTCCAAGGGGATGATGATACTGCTGCTCCAGGAGCACCACTACGAGTAATAAGGTGATAGAGAAAATGCCTAAGAGTCTTTGTTAAATAATCAAGGAATTATTATTGCTGGTTACAAGGCTATAAACTAAAGCTGCTTCAGAATTTTTATCTTAGCCTCCTTGCACTGTATTTTTGATCTTAGCCTTTTACATCATGGCTGATCGCTATGGTGGCTTTCATGACCCAATTATACAGCCAACAAGGGTTTTATTATTTCTGTTACTCAGATAACAGAGAGAATTGAATAGCTCAGAATGAAGCAATAACTTAAAATTGTTAGATCTAAATCTCATTTATATGGAATCCAAAATCAGGCCTTTATATATTTTTTTTTAATTTTGTGAAAGAAGAGCCCACTAAATATTCTACAGCATTTGTGGGAGATTTTGTAACCAGGAGAAACATTTATAGTATATTGTCTACTGGGAGAGAATTTTCAGTGATAAAACATAAGGAAGCAAAATAATGGAACAAAACAGGAAGTAAAAAATTTGCATATGGTGTTTTATAGTTAGCCTCTGAGCCAGAAAATAGATAGCATTTGATTTACAAAAGTAAACATCAAATCTCAATCAGCTTTGTTCATACAGTGAAAAGCAAAAATTAAATTTTATTCTATAGCTTTTAAATATTGTAAGCACTGAATTATTCATTACCAATGAAACTTCTAAGCTTTGATATAATATTAATATACTGTTGTCATAGGTATCCTTATCTATTTCTCTGGCAATTAACATCTAGTCTTAGTTTTAGAAAGAAAGAAAATCATAATTAAATCTATTGGATTATCCATCATAGTTAGAAAGCTTATTGTGTTTTGATTCCAATATTAAAACATTCATTCTTAATAAGGAATGCATATCAGACTCCCCTAGGGGATTTTTCAAAACATAAAAGCCCAGAGTTCTACCCTAAGCCCTGAATCTCAGGGGGGTGGGGGAAGGAATGAAAGAAAGTGTACAAAACAGATTATAAAAGAAATGTAGGCTAGAAATGTGAAGAGGACAGGGGAGTAGGAGGAGTACATTTTTTTTAGAATGGCTGCATTATTCTTTACTTCTTTCATGGTTTTTAAATTAAGATGTGCTTCTAAATTACAGAAAGTGACACTATTATATATCTAAGTCCATCATGTCTGGTCAAACTGGGTGAAAGAGGAAATATAGGCAAGGAAGGAACTGCTACATTTTTAGAGAGGGAAGGATATGGAAAAAAAAGAAACGTATCTTTTATACAAAAATTTTTTTCATAAATTTTTGAAAAGTATTATATGTAAAAATTTCTAAAACTGTATAGAAACACAGCAAATGGAAAATAAAATGTGACAGATGAAGAAAAGGAAAAGGAATGAGCTAAGAAACAGTTATGAGAAATCGTAAAATGACAAATTGAATGAGCATTGTAGGAGATAAAGAACTGGCAAAAACGTACAAACTAAGGGAAAAAGAGAAAAATAGGAGAGACAAAATATGATTGGGAGAAAAGATAAAGACAGAGGGAAATAAAGTAAAGAACAATGAATCTTCAATGAACAAGTAGATGTATGAAGAATTCAGTCCAAGAGTTTTTCTGTAACTTTGCTAGGGAATTATTTTGAGAGATCAATCATTACCTCAGTTTACAGACTGAGCAAGTAAAAACCTGTAATAAAATGAACCTGTGGAGAGTTGTGAAACTGGCAGACAGTCACCAGGCTGTCTTCAGAGATCTTAATATGCATCAGAAAGCAACTTTCAAATTTCATAAGATGATGAACTTTTGTTAGGAAGCAACACAAATACCCATGGGATACAATAAGGCACAGGGACAGGATACAGTTTAGTTCATCCATGGATTGGGTAATTCTACCCTGATGGAAGACCTTCTGA